AGGCACGGCCGAGCCCCCCGATAACGGGCCTCCGAGAGTCGGCTAGGCTCGGATTCTCGGCATGGCCGACGCTCCGACTCCGGCCGGCCACCCGAGCCGCCTTCCGGCAGAAGCCGTAGAGTGCCCTAGAATTCGGCAGTGCCTGCAGTGCGTCGGGACTCGTTTCATAAACCACTTGCTGGCGAAGAGAGGAGCCATTCGGCAACCCAATACTTAAGAATTTCGGAAGCTCCTCCATGATGTTGACTTCAACCAAAACCCTAGCAAAGGAGATCCGTTCCATGGAGGCGGTTAGCCGGTCACATTGGATAGGCTTGCCCGATAGGCTAGCCACTTTCGAAAGGCATAAAGGGGACCAGGCAGTTAAGAGGCAAATTCGGAAGCTTCACCTAAACCGGGACTTGCGCCATTTCGGTGAGCGAAAAGTCAAAGAATTCGGGCATAGGTCGGAGCAATAAAGGCCGGCCAAAAATCGGATACGGGCCCCCATTCGGAACCGAGAGCTTAGCCTCGTCGGAGGCAAACTTATACACAAGCCAGCCGGAGTCATGGATCGATAACGAAGCTTGACATTGCCATGTAGTCTCAATAATGCCGGAAAGAGCCCTATAGCCCGGAGACTTGCCGGCAACATAACCAATCGAGCAAGACTTCCATATTTCGCATTGCGAATCAGCGGCAAGCAAAGAGCAAGTTTTGCTTTGAGTTATAGCACTATAATGAGTGAGCTTTGGGCATAGAGCGGCATTACGGTTAGAAGCAAAAAGATCACGCCATTTGGAAGAGGGGGCTTGAGAGTTACCTGTCGCAGCTGGGGAGGAGAGTGGGGGTGGTCATGGTGCGGAGGCTCGGTGGAGCCCGACGAACATGCTCGGACGTCTCAAGCCCTTTCGCTGGAGCATGAGCCGGAAACGAGCCCGCAGGAGCCGGCCAAAGCTTGGGCGGGAATTGGGAGGGCTGGAAATTTCGGCGGGAAACCAAATGGCCACCCAAACTTGAATTTTCGGTAGCTGCAAAAATCGGCGGGAATCTAAATTGCCACCCAAAGTTGAATTTTCAGCAGCAGAAGTGTTTTGGCGGGAAGCCAAATTTTCACTCAACTTGGTGGGAGGGAAAACCAAATTTTCAGCTGAACTTTCGGAGCTGCTGCCTTCCTCATCGGAATCCGGCCCTTCTTCATCCGAGCTTGAAGCTTCATCACCGAAAAGCTCTTCCACAGCGAGCGGCGACCGGAGGGTCGAGAGGGCCGCTCGCTTTAGACCCGCCGGGGGGTGCTAACTCGAAATCGAGGCGGATTTGGAGCTGGTGGCCGGAGCAACCGGAGCAAGGACCGGTTCTGTCCGGCGAGGAGTGGTCTTCGGCTTAGGGGCGACTTCTTCTTCTTCGGCCATGGCCGAGAGGGAGAAAGACCCAAGTGACGATAGCGGGGAGAGGGAAACTGGAGAAAGAAATGGAGGGCAGCGGGGAGAGAGAAACGAGAGGGAGGAAGAAGATGAACAGGGGATGGTGGAGAGGAAGGGAAGGGTGAGACAAAGACAGAAAATCAAAGGGTGGGAGGCTCGGAGGCGACGCCGACCGAACTTGAGGAAAGATCTCCATTGGGGGAGGAGAGCATCTCTCTCTACTTTCTCTCACATAGATCGAGTGACTCGAGAGCTCTTACTAGTTCGTTTTTAGTTTCATTAGTTATGGCCACACTCATATCACTCCATAAAGACTTGCTAGTCCACATCATAAATTAACTCGGTCATTAAATGATTCTCCAACAACTAAATAAGGACGTGTTTTGCAAATATCTAAAGTTATTGGATCCCAACCCGCTACAGTAGACACACCGTTCATTCAACTTTGTGAAAAACCACCTTATTACTATCAAATTGTGCCTAACACACTCGGTTAATATAAAAAGGCTAAAAAGAGATGCCTTTGGTTTTTTTCATTTTGTGAAAGGCAAAGAAGGCATCTTTGAGCGCAGATACGGTGAGAGAATTTTATAAGGGAACTGGTTAAATATTCTCACTATACAATAATTATAAGATATCATTATTGCATTGTGTGCTTAACGTTAGTAAGATCTTTTGTACGTTACAATATAGCGTTACGATTTGTATGGAATTAATTGCAAACCTCGAGGAACTTTTCCTGCGGGAAACACATGCTGCTTTATAATTTCGACACGTGACTAGCATATTATATTAATGGTGGTTTTGGGTCCCTCTGTGACCATTGAGCACCTCTCTTTCTCCGTTAAAATTCCTCCCATTTTTCCGTTTTTTGTAAATATATAATGTAAGCATGAAAGGATTGAAGTGCAGAACTATACTGGTTGGTGGGGGATCATGTCACCCCAAATTTGAAAATTTGTATGTTGTATTTCTAAGATTTTGAAAGTTTTTACCCTTTAATTTTACATGTTTTTCATCCCAAAAATCAATTGTTTTTCTTTTTTTCTTTTTTGTTCTTTCCATCTTAAATTTCTTCACTCCTGAAAAGGTTGTCAAAATGGAAGTGGAAAGAGATTCAGTCGAAATATGAATATTTCTCCCAAAAATATCCATACAGTTGCATGAAAACAAAGAAGCCAAAATATGAAATTCAACAAAACGGGAGGGAGAAAAAAGATATCGAATTCAGATCTTGTCCTCATTTTGATGACTACAATGAAAAACAAAAGGATGAGATTTTCAGATTTAATCAACGGCAGATTTGTTTTTGGGGCCCCCTAGCTAGCAACCCTTACTGACTCCGACGACAAATTAACTCTCTGTCTTTTTTACTTCTGGCACCGAAGACGTGCTATTAAAAAAAATATTAAAAGCCTGCTATGAATGAATAATTGAAGATATATATATATATAAATCAATAATGCGTGCGATCATTCGATAAGGATGCCAATCTAATATCACATCGAGACAAGAGTAGATAAAATAAAGACTGCAGCTTTTATGAAGTACTGATTACTTTAACGACAAGAGATTTGAGGGAAAAGCTCTCACGTGTTTCAGGTACAAATTTATGTTTTCCTGAAGTTTGACTAACATTTTCTTCTTGTGCCACATAATTGAAGACGAAGTAGTTGATCTTTTATGCATAAATGAGAGTGAATTTTGATTTCAAGTGGTTTCTTATTACCAAAATACTTGAAGACACGACGGTGGTACTCATCATTTTTAAAAATAAAAATTATTTAATAAATTTAAAAAATAAAAAAATTAAATAATACAATACCCATTGAAATAAATAATTTTTCTTGCATCCTTTCAAAAAAACACTATTCTTGTAAAATTATGATGATTTTTTTTTTGACACTACTAATATCATGTAGCACTATTTCTCTTATTACCACCTTAAGATAACAATACTTTTGTTTGAACCCCCTTTCCATTACCGATCAGAAGTTTAATTAATGATCACAAAATTTTGGTTTCTGCACATTTTTTTCCAATTAAATTTGGTGTAATTTGGATAATAGCTAAGGAAATAAATTGGGCCAAAGTTAAAGGGTACTTGTTGTTAATGGATTCTCATGTGTTTTTTTTTTTTTTTTTACCTCTTTTCATTTTTCTCAGTCACCTACATGCTAAATGCTTAAAAAATCTCCTAATTTTTAATTTTTATTTATTTATCTGATGTCTAATGAACTTATTAGATTGCACAATAGGATAATTCTTCCCATTACATAATCATTAAATAAATTGAAGTTATCAAGACTCGAACTTTATTTCACTAGAGAAGCTAGTTGGATATACAACTATTAAATTAAGCTTGTTTGTGTACGATCTCTTAATTTTCAATAAGAGAAAAATTAAGATGATTTTTAAAGCGAATATCTAACCATAAATTTTGGATAATTAACCCATAAGAACAATTATATTGAATAAGATAAACATTTATGAGATTATATTAAAATCTTCACTCCGACAGCATGCAAGAATCATCTTTTCTTTAAATAAGTATCTTATTATTATTAAGCTAATCTTTTTTCTTTTCTTTTCTTTTTTTCTTTTTTGGAAGATTTATATTTTCTTACATCCATACCTTAATGTCGTAATGTATCATTGTTCCATTGTTTTTATGATATTGATTTTAAGAAATGCTATTAATTATTGTATTCATCAATTTACACAATTATTAAAAATATGTTAAAGATTATAATTGTTAAGAGCTATTAAATGATTGGTAATAATGTAATTCGAATTTTAGAAGAAACTGCAATTTAAATCCATGCAGATGCTGAGCTCATGCTACTATAGCTACTTGAAGGACAACAACAAAACAGATAGACAAGGCTTGAAATTGACCTATGGGAGATTTTCCTGCTGGAGAATTGAAACGGCGACAACCAAATCACCAAAATGTGCCTAGAAAAGTTAAGCCTGTTGCGATTAATGACTTCCAAGTCTTTCTGCTGAAACTGCCTTTTATCGCGTTTCCGTCGCATAATCAGGAGGAGTCCTCCATTTTTTTGATATAGATTTCAATTCATGCGTAATTAATGAAACTAAAAGGGTTGGTTTAGTAGTTAAAAAGATTTGCTTGTCATCGGAAAAAGACAAGATAATCTTAATCTTCTTTCAGTAACTGTTATTTAAAGCTTGGGAATTTAATCACAAATTTCTTGGGCCGACAACAATCTTAACAGCTAATCTTATTTAGTTCTTTTAAGGGGAACTGGTGATGCTTGATGAGGCACGTCATTTGATGTTTTCTTTGTTTATAAAATACAAGTATGAAGCATTTCAAAAACAACATGTGATCATAATGTTCGATATATTATTCAAACGCCATGGCCCATGTTCTGTATAAAAAACTGTTAACCAAGCGCAACCACATCCTTTCATGTGAATATATAAGTAGAAGCACCATCGGTATAACCACAGCAAGAGAGTAGAGGTTAACTTTGTGGGTTACGTAAACCTTTAGCAGTGTCTGTCTGTTAAAGTCTAGTGGGCTTAGTTGCTTTGTTTTGGTAATTTCATTTCTCTCCAGTATAGGCAAAAATGGAACACAACATTGATCACTTTCTGTTAAAAATTTTGACAACATCAACAACAGTACTTGTGTTTTGGTTTCTGTGTTTTGCAACCTTGAGCTATGTTCAAGCTGATATTCATGGAGCTGGAGAGCAAGCACTCGCCAAGATTGACATTTACAAAGCCACTCTGGCACTTGATGGCTCGGCTTTCATTACCGCCCGCCCTCGCATTCTTGGCTCTCTGGTGATAACTTTGATTGACCCGTTGACTTTAACCAAATTTTATGATGGGTGGATGCAGCAAATCTAGCTAGACACTATGATTGGTTTGGTCCGATGGACCAGGTGCATGTAGTAATTCTTAGATGTTTTTTTTTCTTTCCTTTGTTTGTGTAATTGCAGGGTGAGGATTCTGAATGGATAACGGTGGATATTGCTAGCAAAAAGCCATCTGCAGATGATTGGGTTGGAGTTTTCTCTCCTGCAAACTTCAAGTATTGCCCTTCTATGTGCCAATATGAACTGTCTAGTTGTTCTTTGTACCAAAACTGTGATTGACTTGTCCACACATGAATCATGATATCAACTGACATTTATCTAGCTTTAATTTTGTCACCCACCAAACTTTAATTTCTGCAAATTTAGTTGTAGGACCAAAGCCAATTTTATTGTTTCATAAATTTCAAGAATTGTGTTTTGATATGGCAGCTCATCCACATGTCCACCAGCAAATGACCAAGAACTGGAAACTCCATACATCTGTACTGCCCCAATAAAGGTGAGTACATTAGTGATTATATATAAATATTGAGTTGAGGTTAACTGTAGAATCTTGCAGGTAAAAAAGTCTCTAACCTTTATTATATTGGATGTCATTGTTCCAGTACAAGTATGCGAACCATAGCAATCCGGAATATACAAAAACAGGCAAAAATACTTTGAAATTTCTGCTGATAAATCAGCGAGCAGATTTCGCCTTTGTATTGTTTTCAGGCGGGTTATCAAATGTGAGTTTTTTTCACTCTTTTTGCTTTATTTCTGCTGCAATCATCATTTTATTCTTACTGTGCAAATGATTTACTTTTGAAGACTTTTTATGATCATATTGTTAAATGGACTTATCCATACTCAATTTCTTGCAGCCAAAACTGGTGTCGGTTTCACACAAATTACGGTTTTCGAATCCGAATGCACCACTTTACCCGCGTCTTGCTCATGGAAAATCTTGGGATGAAGTGAGTTTTTATGGATGCATTCTTACTTATAAAGTTCTGTGCGAGTCCATGCATGAATTGCATTTTTTTTTCCGAAGAAAATGAAAGTTATATAATCCTGGAAATATAGTTTCCTTTTTAACATCAAGATGATGCTAATGTTGTTTTTAACTTTCCAACATCGACTTTCGATCTCTGGCTTCAGCAAACCTTTCACCATTGTTATATCAGCATTAGGTCAACTGACAAATCTAAATGTTCTAAATGTCTTCAAGTTGATAATTGAAATGTAACTGGCAATTTATATGTTGCGTAGATGACTGTGACATGGACCAGTGGTTATAATATAGATGAAGCTGTTCCATTTGTTGAATGGGGCATGAAGGGTGAAACTCGAAAGCGCTCACCAGCTGGAACATTAACATTCAAGCAAAACAGCATGTGTGGTATGATTCAGTTCACCTTGATCACATGATAGGACTTTTTTAAAAAACTTATTTGCAGAATTTGTAACATTCAATTGCGTTTGCTGGTAGATGTGTAAATTGCAATGATCATGAGGTTTGTTTTTCACTTTCCAGGTTCGCCTGCACGAACAGTTGGATGGCGTGATCCTGGATTCATCCATACAAGTTTTCTGAAAGATTTATGGCCAAACACAGTGTATACATACCGAATGGGTCATATCTTATCCGATGGTTCATGTGTCTGGAGCAAGATTTTTTCATTCAAATCATCCCCATATCCTGGACAAGATTCATTACAGCGTGTCATAATATTTGGTGACATGGGGAAGGTACGTTATCTTGGACAATCTCTAGCAACTTGTGCTTTTATATCAGCGGCCAGGAAATCTATATTAACACTTATATGCTCATTGCAAATTTAAATGAGGAATCCGTACTTCTAACCTTTTATGTAGTTACTCTCACAAGGGAATAAGCATTGTTCTCTTCCCTACACTTCAAGCATCAATTTGGTTTGACTTACCGATTTCAGGATGTTATAGGCAAATATCGTGCATGCTTCTGTTGCCGTAAAGGCGTGAAATAATGAATGGGAGCAACCTTTTATGTCTATTTTCTTCCAAAATCTTAGAGAACGTAACTTTTTGTTTTTTTAACTCTGTCATCTATTATTTCTTCCAGTATAAATTATTGTGCTTCATAAACCAAGCTGTCCTTTGTTTTCCTTGAACCTCTATTATTTCCTAGAAACAGTACATTGATGCCTACTATTCACATTTTCCCTGTGCATATGAGAAGAGATCTACGTTTCTGACGAATGTCTTTCAGGCTGAACGTGATGGTTCAAATGAGTACAGCGATTATCAGCCTGGTTCGCTGAACACTACAGACCAACTCATCAAGGACTTGGACAACATTGATATAGTATTCCATATAGGAGATCTACCATATTCAAATGGTTACATTTCACAGTGGGACCAGTTCACTGCACAGGTGCAGCCCATTACATCAACTGTTCCATACATGATTGCAAGGTTTGCGCATTTGCTCTCAAACACTTTACATAATATGTTTTTTTATGAATAAATATGGGATTTACAACTGAGCATTTTTTCAATGTTTTCTTCTCTGCAGTGGAAACCATGAACGTGATTGGCCAAATTCAGGGTCCTTCTATGACACTCCAGATTCTGGTGGAGAATGTGGTGTGCCGGCAGAAACCATGTACTATGTTCCTGCTGAGAACAGAGCTAAGTTTTGGTAAGTTTTATGAAGTGTACATTAACTAATTCTCAGATTAAGAATCTTGTAAAAGAATTATATTAACAAAAAGGGAATAAAGAATAATATAAATTTATCATTTGACAGTAAATAATAAACATGTCGATGTACCTGCACTTTGCAATTCTGCTATCCAGTTAAGTTCATTTGTCCTGAACTCAATAAAAATCCATGATTGTGCAGGTACTCGACCGATTACGGCATGTTTCACTTCTGCATAGCTGACTCGGAGCATGACTGGAGAGAGGGAACAGAACAATATGAGTTCATTGAAAAATGCCTTGCATCTGTTGATAGACAAAAGCAGCCATGGTTAATCTTCTCAGCGCATCGTGTCCTTGGTTATTCATCTAACTCTTGGTATGGCCTAGAGGGTTCATTCGAAGAGCCCATGGGGAGGGAAAGCTTGCAGAAACTTTGGCAGAAATATAAGGTAGACATTGCATTTTTCGGACACGTCCACAACTACGAGAGGACATGCCCTATTTATCAGGTATGTGCAATTGCTGTACATGCATGGTTTTATCCAGTGCAAAGAACTGAATCGGTGCTTTATGATTCAATTGGTCTGTGCCTATCTTATGGATTAAACAGCGCACATGCATGCTTTTGCTGATTGTCGCATGCCATTTGTAAAGGCTGCATTCATTTTTTCATGAGAGCTCGAGATGGCAATCACATTTGTTTAACATTATCATTATTGAATCTATTTTGAAATGTTAAATCATCAACCATAAAATTGCATTTTGGTCACTAGTCCCTTTTTGACTTTAAAGTTCTCAAATTCCTTAATCTTGTTACTGCAAGTTTTGCACCATTTTCATGTCATTTTGCTAATAGTTTACTGTTTATGCTGATGGTGCAGAATCAATGCGTGAGCCAAGAAAAACATCATTATTCAGGCACAGTTAATGGAACCATCCATGTGGTTGCTGGTGGGGGAGGAAGCCATTTATCAGGATACAGCAGTATGATCCCAAATTGGAGTATTTACAGAGATTATGACTTTGGATTTGTTAAATTGACAGCATTTAATCACTCATCTCTACTCTTTGAGTACAAGAAAAGCAGTGATGGACAGGTCTATGATTCGTTCACCATTTCAAGGGACTATAGAGATGTTTTGGCCTGTGTGCACGATGGTTGTTCAGCAACTACTCTGGCAACTTGAGCCGTCTGTAATAAAAGTTCCTTGTCGAATGCTAGAAGTATTTGTCTTGGAATTATGTTGTAATCCATAATGATGCTCTCTGATAACAAGGTTTAATGAAATTTATTTTCCCATGTTTATTCTGTACTTCTGCTACTCCATTAATGAGCTCTTTATACGGACATGATATAGGATACGATGTTTTTGGCCAAAATTATCAAGACGAGAGGAAGATATTTGTTGAATAAATCTTTGCCAAGTATGTTTCTTTTTCTCCCCTCCCAGTCCCACGCTCCCAACATTATATTGATCGAACCGTATATATTTCTTGTCCAACCACAAATTTCTTGGCTATAGAAGGTTTTTGACCTTGTTGTTAAACAATTTAAAGAACATGTCACAGATAATGATTTAATTCAACCTGTTCTTCACACTATATAATGCAATCCTCACTTCAAAAAAAAAAAAAAAAAAAAAAAACCTACCGTATTCACCTTTCACCCTTTTACTTCTCACACAGCATTGGCTCATTGGCTTCACACATCATAGATGGCGTCAACCACGATTAAGACTTGATTGTCAATTAAAGCCATGAAATACAACGCAAGAGGGTTGATTTGAGTAAAAAAATTCTAATCCCTTAATCCAAGAATCTTTATATATACAAAAAATTATTTGGATAGTTATTTTAGTCTTGTGTGCTTGACAAAGCAAGGAATGATTAGTTTGAGTTTTTAGGTCTATGGTAACTTGAAAAATCAAAAAACATAGACTTAAAAAGCCATGAAATACATCATAAACTGAAATTTTTTCAGAAAATATTTATGAATAAAAAAATATTGTGCTTTGAATAAATCAATTGCTTGAAATTAACCTTTAATCCCCTTATAAATAGTTCTTCCATGACCTAAGCACAACATTTATGTGACATATCTTATGTTTTAGGTTTGCCATAAAATAAAACATTTAAGGTTTATAATGATAATTGTTAAACTTTATGAGCCAAATTGGAACATTTATAAATTAAAGGACTAAGTATTTTTTATCTTTCCATTAAGCCCCATTATCTATGGGGTTAATAGTTGTAAAGATCCCTCTACCTTTTTTTTTTTAATCGTATCCGTCTATTCTTTTTCATCTTATATCCATCCTTTTACATTTAGTTACTATCTTAATCTCATTTTTTTAATTAAATTTTTAAATTAATGGTGTTAACTTGTTTTTTTCTGTTTTAATCTCATCTATTTACTCTACTTATCTCGCTTAATTTGATTTTATTTATCAAATTTAAATAATGAATTTTGAAAAAAAACAAAAAACTCAAAAAAAGATGAAGATATATCTAGTCATTCTCTCTAAATTTTTTTAAAAAAAGATAGAAACAAGAACGTGAAGATAAAAATACGTTTTTATCCAAAATATTTTTTATGGACTTAAATGTATCTTTATGACATGAGAAAATTTTCAATATAAAATAAAATATTTATATTCTTTTTTAAGTGCGAAGAGAGTTTTAGTTAAATTTGTGAATGTCATTTATAATTTTATAATATCTCAAAAAAATTTATTATAATTTACTTATTTTGATGTTACAAATTTTTTAATTTGACTTAGAAGTGGAAATATAAATTTTTGTTAGTATTGGACCAAACACTAATGAGTTTCTTAATTTAATTAAAATTTATAATAAAATTTATATTCTCTTTTGAGTTAACTAAGAAATTTCTATAATCAAAATAAGAAAATTACGGTAGACTATTTTGAGGTATTATAAAATTAAAAAAAACCGTTTAAAATTTTAAAATTTAACTAAAATTATCTTTATATATATATATTTTTTAAAAAATACTATAAATATTTTTTAATACTTAAAATTTATTTACTATCATAGAGATAACTAGCTTGTTGCCCGCGTTATGCTACATGTTGGACAAAACTAAATTATTTAAATTTGATACCTCACGTTATACTACAATTCTACTAAAATATATCAAATTAAAGATAAAAAAAATTATAATAAATTATAATAACTTTTTTAATCAAAATTTTGTATTTAATTGATGATTATTATGTTTTCCAAAAAAAAAAAAAAAACATAATTTTTTGTTTTATATGCATTGATTCTTAAATAAGAATCTGCAATAATCTAAATAGAAAATCGAATCCATAACTTTTTTACAAAAATTAATATTTTTTATTTAAGATTCTACAAAAAAAAATAAAGCAAAAATTAATATAAAAACATGTTTACAAATTAACAAATAAGAAATAATTTTTATTCTTATTTAATGCGAATGAGAAGGTTACTTTTTAAAAATTTATATGCCAAATTGGAACATTTATAAATTAAAGGACTAAGTTTTTTTATCTTAAAAAAAAAACGATGTTTCCATTAAGTCCCATTATCTATGGGGTTAATAGTTGTAATGATCCCTCTACCTTTTTTTTTTTTTTTTTTTGAACCGTGTCCATCTATTGTTTTTCATCTTATATCCATCCCTATATGTTTAGTTACTATCTTAATCTCGTTATTCTGTTAAATTTTTAAACCAACGGTGTTAACTTTTTTTTTTTTTTTCTGTCTTAATATCATCTCTTTACCCTACTTATTTGTCTTAATCTTATTTTATTTATCGAATTTAAATCATGAATTTTGAAAAAAAAAACTCAAAAAATGTGAAGATATATCCGGTCATTCTCTCTAAAAAAAAAAAAAAAATAGAAAAAAGAAGGTGAAGATAAAAATATGTTTTTATCCAAATTTTTTTATGGACTTAAAAATAGCTTTATGACGAATTTTGAGTATAAAATAAAATATTTATAGTATTCTTTTTTAAGTGTGAAGAGAGTTTTAGTTAAATTTTTAAATTTTTGAATGTTATTTATAATTTTATAATATCTCAAAAACATTTATTATAATTTACTTATTTTGAAGTTACAAATTTTTTAACTTGACTCAAAAGTAGAAATATAAATTTTGTTAGTATTGGACCCAATGCTAATGAATTTCTTAATTTACTTAAAATTTATATTCTCACTTTTGATTTAAACAAATTTTTACAATGAAAATAAGTAAATTATGGTAGACTATTTTGAGGTATTATAAAATTAAAAATATCATTCAAAAGTTTAAAATTTTACAAAAATTATCTTCAGATTTTTTTTAAAAAAAATAATATAAATATTTTTTTATACCTAAAATTTGCTTACTATCATTGAGATAACTAGCTTGTTGCTAGTATTATGCTATAGGTTGGATAAAACTAAATTATTTAAATTTGATACCTCACATTATACTACGACTCTACCAAAATATATCAAATTAAAGATAAAAAAAATTTAAAAAATTATAATAATTTTTTTTGATCAAAACTTTTTATTTACTTGATTATTTATTATGTCTTCCAAAAAATTTTAAAAAAAACATCATTTTTTGTTTTGTATGTATTGATTCTTAGATAAGAACCTGCAATAATCTAAATAGAAAATCGAATCTATAATTTTTTTTACAAAAATTAATATTTTTTTAAGATTGTACAAAAAAAAAAAAAAAGCAAAAATTAATATAAAAATTATTTATAATTAAAAAATAAAAAATATTTTTTATTATTATTTAATGCTAATGAAAAGGTTATTTTTTAAAACACACACACACACACATATATATATATATTCAATCATAAACTAATCAATGATATAGTATTAAAAACTATATTTGAATCAATAGGTTATTGTTTTAAACTATTATTTTAATTATTTTATTTGAAAGAAATAAAATTTAAAATATCCAAAAGAAAAAAAGTAAATAGTTGGTTTTATTTATATAGATGTATAGTTAATTTATAACAAGATCTATTATCTAATTTTAATTTTTTTTATACATTATAACTATAATTAGTAGGTTCAGAGTGTGCATTTCACAAAATAATTAATAATATAGTATTAAAAATTGCATTTGAATAATTGAGTTGTTGTTTTAAACTTTTATTTTAATTATTTTATTCGAAAGAAACAAAATTTAAAACATCCAAAAGAAAAAAAAAGCAAATGATTGGTTTTATCTATGTAGATGTATAGTTAATTTATAACAAGATCGATGATCTAATTTTAATTTTTTTATACATTATAACTATACTTGGTACGTTCATAGTATGCATTATAAAATTACACACACACACACACACGCGCGCGCGTGTGTGTGTGTGTGTGTGTGTGTCTATATATATATATATATAATGAATTTGAATTTAATATATTGAAATAAAAATTACTATAAGATTGACTTTGATAAATTTTGATTACATAAAGAAGCAACAAATTACTCATGTAAAATCTATTTTTAATTAATTATTTTAAAACTATATATATATATATATATATATATATATATATATATATATATATATGCTTAAAAATCAAAAGAATTTATCATATAAATTATATTAATACATTTTTAAAAAAGAAAAATAATCATATTGTAAAAATTTGATTCAAATATCCATACATAAAGAAAAATAAATCATATTTTTTAACAAATAAAATTATATAAAAAATAAATTAAAAAAATTAATTGTATGTTTCCATAAAAAAAGAAAAATTGAAAAAATCATCTTAAATTTTGAAAGCAAAAAAATAAGATATAAAAAATCGAATAAATCATATTTCTTCATCGCTAGGCTACAAGAGAAAAAAGGAATTATTTTTTCATAAATTTAGCATAAAATCAATTATAAAAAAATAAACAAAAATACAAAAGAAAGAAAAAAACCAACCCAGGCCCATGCCCTGGGCATGCAGAAGCAAGCCTTGTTGGCCTAGGCCAGCCACAGAGAGAGAGAGAGAGAGAGAGAGTAGCAAACGACACAAAAAAAGAAAGAAAAGATTTTTGGGTTTTTTTTACCAAAAAACTTAACATGCGTATTATTTTTACTTCAAAACATTTTAAAAATACTAAAGTGATGTCAAGAAACATGTTTAGAACACGATATACATAAAAAAAATAAATTTAAAAATTCATAATATTTTAATATCTTGATTCATTTATTTCAATCATCTTATGCTTTAAAACTATAATAAATAAACTCAATTATCTACTATAAACAAATTAAATAGAATATTGTAAGGCCAAAACGGCTGAGATAAGCATAGCAGACACTCCCTCTCTCTCCTCTTCCTCTCTCTTTGTTTCTCTCTCCTCTATGCGTTAAGAGACCAAAGTGTTTTCACAAATGAAATTGTTGATAAAAAGAATCGAGAGACCTCTGCTGCCATTAACCCATTATTTATCGAAACAGAGAGCTGGAATTGCAACAATAAAAAAGTTATGTCTTTCTATCTGCAAAACAAAAAGATTCAAAGGTATCATGTAAGAGGTCTTTTTTTTACACTAATGATGTGTTTGTTAAACAGATATGTAACCACCACTATTCATAAATCTAGACTATTATTTATCTTTTATTTTTATCAATTCTCTCTTTATATATTTACGTTGTTGTAAGTTAGCATTTTACACCAACAAATACATTACATAGATTTGTATAGATATAAAAAATAAGAATCATATCATCATGGTTAGCTTTACCTAATATATACTCCTAAAATTTTTTATCAATTTTTTTAGCTAGTTATTTATTTAGACAAATACCAATATTTAAATTGGATAAATATGCAAGCTTCTTTGCACAATCAATTGGCTAGTTAAGTATAAAAATCAGAGAACCCACAAAAGGCCGAAAAGGCCGACCGACATAGGCTTATTATCTTTAGGAAGCCCATATGAATTCCAAAAGAGCGGTGCTCTTTGCTGTTTTAATGGTTTAATGATTATTGATTTTATATTTGAATTATATATTTTAAACAAATGTTACTCTTCAATTTGATTTGATGGTTATTACTAATAATTTTTTTAAAAAAAATTAATTTTTGAGCTACTTTAAAAAATAATTTATTATTATTATTTTTTTAAGAATAGGATGCAGTTTTTAATTTAAACATAAAATGTTTATAAAATTGTTAAAAAAAAGAAAATAATTTGAAATGAGGTTAATTTTTTTATGGGCTTGAAAAATGAAAATACATTTATATGCTTAGTTTTTTAATATGATTCTTGAAATATTTGCATGATAGATTATGTAATACCTAATCAAAATTTAAAATATATTGGTTTTGGAATTACATGTAAATATTTTAAGAACCAAACTAAAATTATATATGTAAATTTATATGACTTTCTTAGGAATTAAAAAATAAAAATTCCAGTTTATTTTTTATAATTTATTGAATTTTTATCGTTTAAAAAATAAAAACAATAAATTTCAATTTCATAAAATTATTTGTGAAAATGAATAGAATTTTCAATTAGTATCTATAAAATAAAATCAAACAAAAAGACAACATTTATTCAGAATATAATAATTTAAAAATAAAATTGACCGAATAGCAGAAACCTTAACATGCCACATCCAGAATAGTTGAGAAGTAAAAATTGCATTAAACCCGGTTTTAATAGAAAGAAACAACCCTCCCTTTCAAAACATACATAGAGTAGCACTTCTGCAGCAGCAGAAAAATCCCGAGATCTTGCAGATTTTCATTCTAGAAACGGAAACGCCGAAGGAAGAACGCGAAATTCAGAAGAGATTGTGAAAGTGTTTTTCTCTCTCTCACAAACCGAGCCGCTACTGTAAGCATTCAAATCTCTTTGTTTTCGTTATCCTTTTGACTTTCAATTCGAATCAGTAAAACCTAATTAGGGTTTCGTTGTTTCCGTTGAACTCAGGCTTTACCTGTCTTAATGCGTAACTCTACCCCTCCATCCTAGTTAGGGTTAGGGTTTAGTGAACGAGACTCTCCGAGGTAGCTGCCTGTTTAGGGTTTATCATCCTTACGTGCTTGTGTTTTTCTTTTGTTCGGGTTTTGGTTTCTTATTGTTATTGCGTTTGATTTTTGTTGAAATTAGGGTTTGATTTAGAGATTCATTAATGGCGCATCTGGGTGGTGGTGCTGAGGCACACGCTCGATTTAAGCAGTATGAGTACAGAGCCAATTCCAGTCTGGTACTTACTACTGATTCTCGCCCACGTGATACTCATGAGCCTACTGGTGAACCTGAGTCTCTTTGGGGCAGGGTTGACCCTAGAAGTTTTGGTGACCGTGCTTATAGAGGAAGACCTCCTGAGTTAGATGAGAAGATTAACAAGGCTAAGAGGAAGAAGAAGGAGCGTGATGCTCTTTCTGAAGCTGGCCCTACTCGTCAAGCTAAGAGGCGGCGCCTTAGAGAGGAGAGTGTCCTAACTTCTACCGAGGAGGGTGTTTACCAGCCCAAGACGAAGGAAACTAGAGCTGCCTATGAGGCTATGCTCAGTGTAATTCAGCAGCAATTAGGTGGTCAGCCTCTTAATATTGTTAGTGCTGCTGCTGATGAGATTTTGGCTGTTCTTAAGAATGAGTCTGTTAGGACCCAGGACAAGAGGAAGGAGATAGAGAAGTTATTAAATCCTATTCCCAACAATATGTTTGATCAGCTTGTTTCGATTGGTAGGCTTATCACTGATTACCAAGATGTGGGTGATGTTGGTGGGGCCTCTGTTGCTAATGGTGATGATGCCCTTGATGATGATGTGGGTGTTGCTGTGGAGTTTGATGAAGACAATGAAGATGAGGAAGAGGATAGTGATCTGGATATGGTACCAGAGGAGGAAGAAGAGGAAGATGATGTGGTGGAACCAGACGGTTCTGGGGCCATGCAGATGGGTGGCGGAATTGATGATGATGAATTGCGGGAAGCAAATGAGGGAATGAACCTCAATGTTCAGGATATTGATGCCTATTGGCTCCAGAGGAAGATTTCGCAAGCTTATGAACAGCAGATTGACCCACAACAGTGTCAGAAGCTAGCAGAAGAAGTGCTTAAGATACTTGCTGAAGGAGATGACAGGGAAGTTGAAACAAAGTTGCTGGTACATCTCCAGTTTGATAAGTTCAGCCTCATTAAGTTTCTTTTGCGGAATAGGCTGAAGATTGTCTGGTGTACACGTTTAGCTAGGGCCAAAGACCAGGAGGAGAGGAAGCAGATTGAGGAGGAAATGATGCGTCTAGGTCCTGATTTGGCAGGAATTTTGGAGCAACTGCATGCCACAAGGGCAACTGCTAAAGAGAGGCAAAAGAACTTGGAGAAGAGTATAAGAGAAGAGGCTCGCCGGCTGAAGGATGAGACTGGTGGAGATGGGGATAGGGATAGGGATAGGAGGGGACTTGTTGATAGAGATGCAGAAAGTGGTTGGGTTAAAGGCCAGCCCCAGTTGCTTGACTTGGACAGCATTGCTTTTGAACAGGGTGGCCTTTTGATGGCAAATAAAAAGTGTGACCTTCCTGTTGGTTCTTTTAAACATAATAAAAAGGGTTATGAAGAAGTTCATGTACCAGCGCTGAAGCAAAGGCCAATACCACCTGATGAGAGGTTTGTAAAGATATCAGAAATGCCAGACTGGGCTCAACCAGCTTTTAAAGGGATGCAACAGTTGAACAGAGTGCAGAGTAAAGTCTATGAGACTGCCCTCTTCAAGGCAGATAATGTACTCCTGTGTGCTCCTACTGGAGCAGGAAAAACCAATGTTGCAGTCCTCACTATACTTCAGCAAATTGCTTTGAATAGGAACCCAGATGGTTCATTCAACCATAGCAATTATAAGATAGTCTATGTGGCTCCGATGAAAGCCCTCGTGGCTGAAGTTGTGGGTAATTTGTCCAATCGTCTGCAGGAGTATGGTGTCCAAGTGAAGGAACTCAGTGGAGACCAATCACTGACCCGCCAACAAATTGAGGAAACTCAAATAATTGTGACGACCCCTGAGAAGTGGGACATTATCACCAGAAAGTCTGGTGATCGCACTTATACTCAGCTGGTGAAACTACTTATTATTGATGAGATTCATCTTCTTCATGATAATAGAGGACCTGTGCTTGAGAGTATTGTTGCTAGAACTGTTAGGCAAATTGAAACAACAAAGGAACATATCCGGTTGGTGGGTTTGTCAGCTACACTTCCTAATTTTGAGGATGTGGCATTATTTCTACGGGTTGATCTGGAAAAAGGGCTCTTCCATTTTGACAATAGCTACAGACCAGTTCCTCTATCTCAACAGTATATTGGAATCAATATAAAGAAGCCACTGCAGAGGTTTCAGTTGATGAATGATATCTGTTACGAGAAGGTAATGGATGTAGCAGGAAAGCATCAAGTTCTCATCTTTGTCCACTCAAGGAAGGAAACAGCCAAAACAGCTCGAGCAATAAGGGATACTGCACTTGCTAATGATACTCTAAGTAGATTCTTGAAAGAGGACAGTGCAAGTCGTGAGATTCTCCAAACTCACACAGAATTGGTGAAAAGCAATGATCTCAAAGACCTTCTGCCCTATGGTTTTGCTGTTCATCATGCTGGGATGACAAGAGGTGATCGTCAACTTGTTGAGGACCTCTTTGCAGATGGGCACGTGCAAGTATTGGTTTCTACTGCAACTCTAGCTTGGGGTGTTAACTTGCCTGCTCACACTGTGATTATCAAAGGGACTCAAATTTACAATCCAGAAAAAGGAGCATGGACTGAACTAAGTCCGCTGGATGTTATGCAGATGTTGGGTCGTGCGGGAAGGCCTCAGTATGATTCTTACGGGGAAGGGATTATCATCACTGGCCATAGTGAGCTGCAGTACTATCTCTCTTTAATGAATCAACAGCTTCCCATTGAAAGTCAGTTCGTATCCAAGCTGGCTGATCAGTTGAATGCAGAAATTGTTCTAGGAACGGTTCAAAATGCCAGGGAAGCTTGCCATTGGCTTGGCTATACTTACCTGTATGTACGAATGTTGCGAAACCCTACACTCTATGGCTTAGCACCAGATGTTCTTACAAGAGATATTACGCTGGAGGAGAGGAGAGCTGATCTGGTAAGTATCTAACTCTTTTATATAGTTCTTTTATTATTATTATTATTATTATTATTATTATTTTATAAATATATCAAATGGGCTGCTTTATTTGCTATTTCCTCCTGGCATGTGTTACATTTGTTGATAACGTTTTTTTATGTCCTTTTTTTTGTGCTCTATGTCTTCGGGTAGTGGAGAGCAAATTTGATATATTTTACTCATTTTGTTCAATTTTTCTTTAGGTGCCCAAACCACTGTTGTTGTCCAAGTAAATGCTAACTGATGTAGGACAGTTTAGGGGCTGTTCTGGACCTGATTTTTGAAGGAGGTTTAGGGGTGTTTAGGTCTGTATTGATGTGGATTTGCACTGAGAATTATAGAACTATTAGAGTCACACTAATAAGGTTTAGAGGATAGAAAACCTAAGCTTGACACATAGGGTTCTTAGGAGTCACACCTAAGGGAGATTGAGTCACACAGTCAAAAGCAAAGTGCTGGAAATTATTTGATATTACTGCATTCTCAATATTGAAAGACTACATACTGTATTTATAGAGTTGTAGAAGTCCAAATCCGTTTAGGACAAGGATTCTTAAACCTCCAACATAACTATTCCTATTGAGAATAGGAAAACTTATAATTATTCCTATTTAGGAATAGGAAAACTTAATAATTTCGGGACTAAGAAAATAAAATACTAAACAGAAATTAAGCCTAGACCTAGACAGATTTCCAGCAAACTTAAAAAGAATACTAAAATACCCTTGCATTCTAAAATTTAAATAAAACACATAAATCTTAGTCTTTTGTCGTCCGCATCACTAATACTCTCTGTTTCATTAGATTTGGTTTTTGGCATATGTGCTTTCATCTGCTGTCTTTTGGTCATGAGGTTCCATACATGTGAATTTTGTATATTCAATGTGTTCCCATTGTGTCTTAAGCATCATTGGTTTTTGCTCCCAATTTCAATCTGCTTGGTGGTGAATATCATTTATTTTTGTCTGATGCAAGCTTAGGTGCTTGATTGACTGACTACGTTAGTCCACGTCATCACTAGTTGTGTGGGGATAGGTTATCCTGTATAATCAGTAAGTCAACTTTGTCTGAACATGTGAAGATGTGTTTATGGAGAATATGCATTTCTGTAACATAAAAACTGTTGACATCATGTCCTATTGGAAACCATATCAAGTTATGTTATATTGGTCCAGAAATTAGTGCATCCAACATCATTTTGTAATCTTGCTTATGATCTCCAATAAAAAGGTATAATGCCAAAGATGATGTGAAACACCACCAACAATTAAGCCTCTATTTATAACTTCTATTTACATGAGAAAGTTCTGGTTTCAAGTATGTTCTTGGTTTGAATAAGTTATGGTGTGATTGTCTTTCTCTGTTGCCTGTTTCCTTGTTCTTCTTTCTTCAATCACTCATTAGTGTGAAATTGAGGTAGCGTTTTTGAATTTCCTTGCATCAGTCTATTTTTCCAATATAATTGTGATGTGATTCTTTCCGACTCTTATTGTTGTCTTTGTAGCAAATTTTCATTGCATGTATTGGCACATGTCTATGCTGTTTCTTTATATAAACTGCCATGATGCCTTGTTTCTTCTTCTAAAAGTAATGTTCCAAATCATTTTTCAAAAAGTCTAATAGTGTTTTAATGTACGTTTGTTCTCTTTGCAGATACATTCTGCTGCTATTATCCTGGACAAAAATAATTTGGTCAAGTATGACAGGAAGAGTGGATATTTTCAGGTGACTGACTTGGGTCGTATTGCTAGCTACTATTATATTACTCATGGGACAATATCCACATATAACGAGCATTTGAAGCCAACAATGGGAGATATTGAGCTGTGTCGTCTATTCTCACTTAGTGAAGAATTTAAATATGTTACAGTTAGACAAGATGAGAAGATGGAATTGGCTAAGCTTTTGGACCGTGTTCCCATTCCCATCAAGGAAAGCCTGGAGGAGCCTAGTGCCAAAATTAATGTTTTGCTACAAGCATATATTTCTCAGCTAAAGCTTGAAGGGCTTTCATTGACATCTGACATGGTGTTCATAACTCAGGTTTGTGTTCATCTAATTGGCATTTCGGTTTCTTTCTTCCTTCTGTTTTTCCAGTTAGATTCTGGATTTTGCCTACAATTTTTATTCATTTATTTTTGTTTTCCTTGTAGAGTGCTGGTCGTCTTATGCGAGCTCTCTTTGAGATTGTTTTGAAAAGAGGATGGGCCCAGTTAGCTGAGAAGGCTTTGAACTTGTGTAAAATGGTTAATAAGAGAATGTGGAGTGTCCAGACTCCCCTTCGGCAATTCCATGGGATCCCGAATGAAATTCTGATGAAGTTGGAGAAGAAAGATTTGTCCTGGGAAAGGTATTATGACCTTAAACCACAGGAGATTGGTGAACTCATCCGTTTTCCCAAGATGGGTAGAACACTGCACAAGTTCATCCACCAATTCCCAAAATTAAACCTTGCAGCACATGTTCAGCCCATTACTCGCACTGTGTTGAGGGTTGAACTTACAATAACAGCAGACTTTCAATGGGAGGACAATGTTCATGGTTATGTGGAGCCATTTTGGGTTATCGTGGAGGATAATGATGGTGATTATGTTCTTCATCATGAGTACTTTATGCTGAAAAAACAGTATGTTGATGAACATGAGGTCGTGGATCTCACACTGAATTTCACAGTTCCGATCTATGAGCCATTGCCACCTCAGTATTTTATTCGTGTTGTGTCAGATAAATGGCTTGGTTCACAAACAGTTTTGCCTGTCTCTTTCAGGCATCTTATCTTGCCAGAAAAATATCCACCTCCAACAGAGTTGTTGGACTTGCAGCCTCTGCCTGTAACTGCATTGAGAAATCCATCATATGAAGCTCTTTATCAAGATTTTAAGCATTTTAATCCAGTGCAAACTCAGGTCTTTACTGTTCTTTATAATACAGACGACAATGTCTTGGTTGCTGCACCAACAGGGAGTGGGAAGACTATCTGTGCAGAGTTTGCCATACTGAGGAATCACCAAAAGGGACCTGAGAGTGTCATCCGTGCAGTTTATATTGCACCTCTTGAAGCAATTGCCAAGGAACGCTATCGTGATTGGGAGAGAAAGTTTGGTAGAGGTCTTGGCATGCGGGTTGTTGAATTGACTGGGGAAACAGCCACGGATTTGAAGCTTCTTGAAAAGGGTCAAATAATCATCAGCACGCCAGAGAAATGGGATGCTTTGTCTCGACGCTGGAAGCAGCGGAAGTATGTGCAGCAAGTTAGTCTTTTTATCATTGATGAGCTTCACTTGATTGGGGGTCAAGGTGGTCCTGTCTTGGAGGTGATTGTGTCCAGGATGCGATACATTGCAAGTCAGACAGAGAACAAGATAAGGATTGTGGCTTTGTCATCTTCTCTTGCAAATGCCAAGGATCTTGGGGAATGGATAGGAGCTACATCGCATGGCCTTTTCAATTTTCCTCCTGGTGTGCGTCCTGTGCCCCTGGAAATACACATTCAAGGTGTAGATATCGCCAATTTTGAGGCAAGGATGCAAGCTATGACGAAACCGACATATACTTCTATTGTCCAGCATGCAAAGAATGGAAAGCCTGCTATTGTGTTTGTTCCCACAAGAAAGCATGTGCGACTCACTGCTGTAGATCTGATGACATACTCGAGCGTGGATGGTGGAGAGAAGCCACCGTTTCTGTTAAGGTCCACTGAGGAATTGGAGCCTTTTATTGGAAAGATTCAGGAAGAAATGTTGAGAGCCACTTTGTACCATGGAGTTGGCTACTTGCATGAGGGCTTGAGTAGCTTGGATCAAGAAGTTGTGTCCCAACTGCTTGAAGCTGGGTGGATTCAGGTTTGTGTCATGAGTAGTTCAATGTGTTGGGGAGTGCCTTTGTCTGCACATTTGGTGGTTGTGATGGGAACTCAATACTATGATGGGCAAGAAAATGCTCACACAGATTATCCTGTTACAGATCTTCTGCAGATGATGGGTCATGCTAGCCGACCTCTTCTAGATAACTCTGGAAAGTGTGTCATCCTTTGCCATGCACCTCGTAAAGAATATTACAAGAAATTCTTATATGAAGCATTTCCTGTGGAAAGTCATTTGCACCATTTCATACATGATAATTTTAATGCTGAAGTTGTTGCTGGAGTTATTGAGAACAAGCAGGATGCTGTAGATTATCTCACATGGACTTTCATGTATAGGAGGCTCACTCAGAATCCAAATTACTACAATCTGCAGGGAGTTAGTCACAGGCATCTTTCTGATCACCTTTCGGAGCTTGTTGAGAACACATTGACTGACCTAGAAAGGAGCAAATGTGTTGCTATTGAGGATGACATGGATCTTTCTCCTCTGAATCTTGGCATGATAGCATCTTACTATTACATCAGTTATACTACTATTGAACGTTTTAGCTCCTCTTTGACTCCCAAAACAAAGATGAAGGGCCTTCTGGAAATCCTCTCTTCAGCCTCAGAGTATGCACAACTGCCAATACGACCTGGCGAGGAGGAGGTGCTTCGAAGATTGATCAATCACCAGAGGTTTTCATTTGAAAATACTAGATACACCGATCCACATGTGAAGGCTAATGTGCTCCTACAAGCCCATTTCTCTAGGCAATCTGTGGGCGGGAACCTAGCATTGGACCAGCGAGAGGTGCTCCTATCTGGAAGTAGGTTACTTCAAGCAATGGTTGATGTCATTTCGAGCAATGGTTGGTTGAGCCTTGCTCTCCTTGCAATGGAAGTTAGCCAAATGGTGACACAAGGGATGTGGGAGCGTGATTCTATGCTTCTACAGCTTCCACACTTCACAAAGGACCTGGCTAAGAAATGCCAGGAGAACCCTGGAAAGAGTATTGAGACGGTGTTTGATTTGGTGGAGATGGAAGATGATGAGAGGCGTGAGCTTCTGCAGATGTCAGATTCACACTTGTTAGATATTGTCAGGTTTTGCAATCGATTTCCCAACATTGATATGTCTTATGAGGTAATGGATGGTGATAATGTGAGGGCAGGAGAAGACATCACTTTGCTGGTCACACTTGAAAGGGATCTAGAGGGGAGGACAGAGGTGGGACCTGTTGATGCCCCCAGGTATCCTAAAGCCAAAGAGGAAGGGTGGTGGCTTGTTGTTGGTGATACCAAGAGCAACCAGTTGCTTGCCATCAAGAGGGTTTCCCTTCAGAGGAAGTCAAAAGTGAAGCTGGAGTTTGCTGCTCCTGCAGATGCTGGACGAAAGTCGTATACTCTATATTTCATGTGCGATTCTTATCTTGGTTGTGACCAAGAATACAATTTCTCTGTTGATGTTGGTGAAGGAGGCTCGGATGAGTAAACTGCTGTTTGAGAATTCATTTTTCCTTCTCATTTTTGTGACCCTTTCCAGAAGCAATGTTGGAATTTCCAATTAGTTGGTTAACCCTTTTTTTTTTTTTTTCCTTTTTCTGTTAACCTATCTTGGTGTATTTACTCTGTTTTAGGACAATCATATCTATATATAGTTCATGCTGTCTGAAAATGACCGCTTTGGACATATATGACAAATTGACAATGTGATGGAAGATTTAGATTCAGAAATTCAGATGCAATATCGTAATATAGCAGGTGGTAGTGCCTTGCTTCATTGCAGACTTTGGCAGAGTAGGTACCCAGCTGAAATTTGTATCTGGTTCGTTGCTTTTTTATTTTTTATTATGTCCTTTCACTGAATCTGTCGTTAATGTACTTGATTTTCACGATGCTGCATGGTGGTGCGAATATATATAACGCTAAGGTTGCATCATCATGATGAAGCATTTACAATTATCTCCATGCAAGTGAAGTTGGGAAAGTCACATTCTGCGTACTACCTAGCGTATGCTTTGCATATGGATTCCATATTGAAGATGAAAAATTGCATATGGCGTTTTAAAGCTTGGGATGTCCGGGTAAGTCTGTCCCTGATGCTTTTTTTAATTCTGTCTTGTTGGCTTGGTAGCTCAAGGACATCGAGTCGTTATATAAAGTATATATTGACATGGATTTTTTTTCAGTCCCTCAACCAGGGCTGATGTTCAACTACTTAATTAGGTTGGGTATGAACTTGTAGTCTTCTTGCTACAGTATTTAAGGTGTTTACAAACAATATCATATCATTTAGACCTTTGAAAGCAACGAGAAGCCACACGTCTCGCACTGAACTAACTTGACTCCGTTAGTGGAGTTTAGTATCATGAATCTTCTTATATTTTGTTGATATCTCAACTCTGTAGCTATCATTTCTAGTTTTAAATTTTGTGGTGTTGTTTTCCAAGCAAAAGCAGCCACATTTTAGGTTTTTTTTATTGGAGGTTAAAAGGTATCCAGGTAAGCTTACGTTTATGTATCAATTAAGATGAAGTTTCTTCTTAGAACGATATTAAAGATGCACTTCTACTTCGACCTGACCTATTGCATTCTTGTTACTTGTCCCTCAGTTTTTTCATGGATTAATATAGTGTTCATTTTGCAACGATAGACTTGTTCATACAATTAAATTTTGTGTTTTCAACGAACAGGAAGGATGCTCATCCAACAGAAACAAGATGCCTACATGAATTTATTATTTATTTTTATTTTTAAAGTTTGGCTATATAAACAAACTCTTCATATAGGCATACTTGGCAATATATATATATATTTTAATTATTATTATTATGAAAGACCAATCAGTTAAAAATTATTGAATTTTATACTTATCATTTATAAGCTCACAGACTAATATGGTTATTTAACATGAAAAGTTTGTTTTGTCAATAATCCTTTTTCTTATTGGATTAATGAGGAGCCAAATATTTAAACAAATAAAAGCAGTTCCTTATTACACTAAAATATTTTCCATTGCGTTTAGAAAACTATTTAAGTAGTTCTTATAGTTTCACTATCTATAAATTTAAATTATATGTTTTTAAATCTCTTTATAACTAAGTCCTTTTCAACCCATTATATATTCTTTTCTAATTTATTTATTTATTTTTTAGAAATAGCAAAAGGAGAAGAAGTAAATAAGATGGAAAAATTATGAGAAATAAATATATTTTAAAAAATAAAATAATACTAACTTAAGCATGTATGCTCAACGCTACTGTTTTTCCAATGTTGTATGATCCAGGCATGCACAGTTTTTATCTATGAAACCCGGTCCATATCTTAAATATCCAGTAATTTAGCTCCGGTCATGCATCATGTCATTTTTTATCTTTCTCTTCAATGGTCGGCTTGGTAAGCTGGCACAATTATGCTATGCTTATAGGATGTGTATGGGTTTGATAGTGTTTGCTTATGCTATTATATATGGTCCTTGTAAATCATTGCTAACTTAAATCTATTAGATTTGAGAAAGCCCGATCAACCAAGCATATCGGATGATAGTTCTAAATTATGGTTGTAGTTGAAAAAACATTCGCAATCGAGATTGTGATAGTAAAATAACGATTGTGGCAACCAATATTATGAATATATTAGTAACTATCAATAAATCTATTTTAATTATCATATTTTTAATAGTTTTACTAATAGAGTATACTAATAAGTAATCACATATCTAATTATTTATATTATGTAATAATAGTTGAATTTATTAAAAAAATTAATAACACTTCTAATAGATTAATATCACAAAAAAATAATAAATTAATTATTTAATTTTTTTATTAGTAGTGACCATGTTTATTATAATATTATTTTATCCCACAATATTTTTTTTTATCAATTTTCTCATGATATAAATTTATTTTTTTCTTTTTTCTATTTTTTAAAACAAGAAGAAAAACAAATTAAAAAATAACATAGATAAAAAGAAGACTAAACAATTGGATTTTAAGATAAGAACCAACTAATTTATTTTTTCAAACTAAAAAGACTAATTTATAATTTATTCAATCAAAGCTTGCATTAAATTAAATACTGCCGGCCTTTGAATTTGGTGTAATTTATTCAATCAAAGCTTGCATTACATGACTGCCTGCATCTGAATTTGGTGCCAGCAAAATGCAACCTCAAATTTAGTTGAATGATAAAGAATAAATTATACATTAGTTTTTTTAGTTTTGATAAATGAATGAATTAGTATTTGCTGTTCCAAAAATTAATTATTTAATCTTTTAATCAATGTTGAAAATGTTTAAGATAATATACTTCATTCCACAAAATGTTTTTTTTATCAATTTATTATATATATATATATATATTATTTTTCTGTTTTTTAAAATAAAAAGAAAAATAAATTAAAAAATAACATAAAATAAAAAAAATGATTTTGGAAATAAGGACTAACTAATTGATTTTTTCAAACAAAAAACATTAATTTATAATTTACTCAATTAAATCCTACATTCCTGCAGGCGTTTGAATTTCGTGAACACAACCTAAAATTTAGTTGAATAATAGGGAGTAGAATACACATTAGTCCATTTGTTTTGATAAATGAATTAATTATTTTTTTAATTAATTATTTAATTTTTTGATGAGTGTTGACATGTTTAATGTAATATTATTTTATTTCACAAAACATTTTTTTAACAATCTTTTCATGATTTAAATTTATTTGTTTTCTATTTTTTTTTTAAATAAAATGGAAAATAAATTTAAAAAAATCATAAAATGAAAAAAAGAGAGGCTAAACTATTGGTTTTTCAAACAAAAAAGATTCACTAATTTATTTTTCCAAATTAAAGAGACTAATTTATAATTTATTCAATTAAAGTCTCGCGTTCCCGCAAGCCTTAATTTTGAATATCATGTGGATAGATTTCCATCTAGTGGACAATTTTTTTTTTGGATAAAGTTGATCAATATATTAAAAAGAAAAGCGTTAGTGAGAAAGTGGCTAAAGTAATAGTTTAGAATACGTAAAGAAGACAAACTAAATGACAACCTCCCAAAAAAAGAGCAAAACTAGACTACAATAAAAAACGGTGAATTATCCGTTCAAAGAGCCCAAATGACGGGTTCTTAAAGTATTTATGCAATGTTTGATTTTATTTGAGTTAAGCGAGAGATCATTTTCGAAAATAAGTAAAATGATCATCAATATATCTAGCTAAATGTGTCGTTATAAAAAAGCAATGAAAGAACGTTGTTCCAATCGGGAGTGGTGTCGTTAAAGATAAGATCATTTTGCATTAGCCAGATTGACCATAAACTTAAATAGAGAACAAGAAATCACACTTTTTTTTGCATATGCTCATGAACATAAAAACTCCACTCGTTGAAAAAGATCATTCACAAATATTGGGATAATCCATGAACCACCCTAACGACAAAAGATTTTAAACCACAACCATCAAATCTCATGACAATAGAGAAAGAGATGAGACACCGTTTCCGAGATTCATTATAGAATGGACATAAATTGGTTGAATACTCCATTAGACCAACATGAAAAAGAAAATCTCTTATTTGTAATTTACAATGAGTAGCTAACCGACCAAAAGCTTTTACTTTTGGAGGAGCTAAGCCTTTCCAAACATAAGAAACTATAGGTGAGTCTCCATGTAGCAAAATCGAATCTAAGATTGAAAAATAAGGCTTGATAGGATACAAGCCTTTTGTGTCAAAAGCCCAAATCCTCTTATCATCAACACCTTGATTCAAGTGAATATTTGAAATTAAATGTTGTAGCCCTTCTACTTCTGAACCTCCCAATCACAAAGCTCCCTTCTCTATTTGAATTTCCAAAACCAACTTGAACCACAACACTCTCCTATATCTAAAACTTTGTAATCTTTGTCAATAGCTAACATGTATAGACTTGAAAAAATGGATTACTTGCCCATACATCTTTCCAAAACATGATAGATCTACCATTGCCGTGCTAAATCAAAGTCCTTTTGATAGCATGATTGCAAGGAGTTGAATTTGAGTAAACCGAACGTGATATCTTTCCAATAGGAAGATAAATTACTTGTAAAATATGAGAGACCATTCCTATACGTTGGTTTGTATTTCCGAAGGATAAACTTTTGCTAGCATGAAGAGTTACCGTGACTATGTCGCCATATCCACTTGAAAAGCAAGGCCTTATTCTTCCCCGTTATGGAACCGATACCCATCCCACCCTTTTTTTTGGTCTAGCCACCATATGCTAGCTACCTTATAAACCTTTCGATTGTTTGAACCTCCACTCCATAAGAAATGTTGCTGCATAGAAATAACCTTTTTTAAAAAAGAAATAGGCCTTAATGGACAATTCTTTATGCTCTTCTACTCGTCTTCAATTCACATCATCTTGTAACAAGATGCCTTATTACTATTATATAACGACCGTTATGTTATTTGACTCTATGTCTTCAATTTTGCATTGAAAGCTTCTAAATTGTATTATAGCAACATCACATCAAGTTTAGTTTGGTGATGAAATAATACATAGGGTGGATGTACATGATCATTTATATAAATTTTTCTTTCAATCGATGATAAAGGATATCCTAAGACTATTATTTTTTCCAACGATCTTAGCCATGCACCTTCTACAAAAAACAAATCAAGAAAGGGAGCATATATATCTCATTAACCACCAAACCAATCCATTAGGGTTCTCCATATATTTACTCACCCTTTCATTAATAACATAGAGGATAAATATATCTAGATGTTTTTATATAATATTCAAAATTTTTTATCTGTTTTTAAATTTTTAATTATATCCCATTAGTTTGTGAAATGTTTAATCTATTCTTCTGATAATGGATTTTTTTGATCGAAAAAAAGTTTTATATATATACGAGGTATTTCGATTAAAAAAAATTATTTGACGAAAAAAATGATCAAAAAGACAGATTGAATATTTTAAATACTTTAAGGAATAAATGGAATATAATTAAATATACAAAAATATATAAAAGATTTGGAGTATTATATAAAAATAGATAAATGTATTTATCCTAGCATATTAACATTACTTAAAGAGAGGAAGGATCGAAAATGTGGATTGTGCAGACAGCTTGGACACATCCGAAACACTTGCCATCTTACAAAGGAAAGGTGCAGCATTAAAGCACAGACCTTCCACGTGATGGATCTCCAAGTGAAGTCGATCGCAGATGTCACATTCATGCATGTAAAATGGCATTACGTAGAGTGCAAGCTCAATGTTTTTCTAACAATTTCAAGTCATAATCTCTTATAAGCAATAATAGCTGCAAGATCATTTGAAGGACATGCGGTATTTTTTCCCATTTGCAGATTTCGTTATCATAAAACAGACTTCAATTCGGTATTAAAGCTCAGAGTACCATCTACTTTCTAAAAGACCTTTCACGGTGTAAAAAATGGAGTATCTTCTTCGATTTCTGTTCAATGGTTCTCCCACCTTTTATTATCGTAAATAAAGGGCTTTCCCTCCTGAAATTTATTGCATTGTTATTTCCAGAAACACAAACCCCAAATCATTTTTGTTTCTGAGATTAAATGAAAACTTGCCATAAATGTGCAGTGATAAAGGTCCCTTCTTATATGTAAAAAGGGAGATGAGTAGCGTTACATGACACCAGTAGTTCAAAAAAAATCACCATAATTTTATAAACATAGTGTTATAAAATTTTAATCTGAAAATTTCAATGAGTATTATATCATTTAATATTTTCACTTTCTAAATTTACTCCTAAAAACTTTTTATTTTTAAAACTGATATCTGGTATCACCAAGCATTTTCCATAACGAAAGGACACCTTACTCTGATGCAGGCTTCCATAGTACGTATTTGTTACTAAAGTAATTTACAAAGAAACAAAAACAAAGACAGAGTGCTTTTGTTGACCAACATCTCTGGATATCAACTAATTATTGAAGGAATTATATATATTTTTAACATGAATCAATTCTCATTTTTATATTGCCGGACTAAATGATATACGCACCTCAGTTCTTGAATTTCTTGAGAAAATCCTACTTTTAGATACGTATATTTTGGGGCCTCTATAGCAAAAAATTGCAACCTCCCTATAACATAAAATCAAGCAATCTATCATATATACACATCTAGTGATTAATACGTTTGAGGAGTAAATTATAAATTAGTCCCTCTAGTTTCAATAAATAAATTAATTAGTCCCTCTTGTTTAAAAATTCTTATTTAATCTTTTAATCAATGTTGCTTAATTTAATATTATTTTTATTTCATAAAATCTCTTATTTTATCATCAATATTTCCATATTTTTTTCATATTATTTTTCCATTTCTTAAACCAAAAAATTAAAATAAATTAAAAAAGAGTAAAAAGGACTAAATTATAAGTAAATTTCAAAACATAAGAAATAATCAGTTTTAAAAATGAGAGGGATTAATTAATTTATTTTTCGAAATGAGAGGGACTAAGTTATAATTTACCTACATTTGATGAGTAAATTATAAATTAGTCTCTCAAGAAATAAATTAATTAGTCCCTTTTGTTCAAAAATTATTATTTAATCTTTTAATCGGTGTTGACTCTACTTAATTTAATATTATATTTATTTCATAAAATCTCTTACTTTGTCTTCAATCTTTACATTTCTTTTTCTTTTTTCTATTTTTTAAAACAAAAACTCACAATAAATTAAAAAAAGAGTAAAAAGAACTAAATTTTAAGTAAATTTTAAAACACGAGGACTAACTAATCAGCTTTAAAATGAGAGAGACTAATTAATTTATTTCTCGAAACGAGAAAGACTAATTTATAATTTACTCTACTTTGAGGTATTTACTAAGCCACAACATCTTTTTTCTTTTTTGATAAGAATTTAAGGAGTAAATTATAAATTAGTCCCCTTAGTTTTGAAAAACAAATTAATTAGTCTCTTTATTTCAAAAATTAATTAATTTTTTTTGTCCATTTTATGTTTTTTTCTAATTTATTTTTTTTCTGTTTTAAAATATAGAAAAAAAATAAAAAAATATTATAGAAAGATAAAAAAGAAAAAAAGATATTTTGTGAAATAAATTAATATTAAATTAAATATAATAATAATGATTAAATAATAAATAAATAACTTTTGAAACAAATAATTAATTAATTCATTTCTTGAAACTAGACTGACTAACTCATATCTTACTCAAATTTAAGCCACAGCATCTTCCTATGATTTATTTTTGTTTAAACTATGACAGAGCCTATTTTTATGTGGAGTATATATTAAGATTAAATATCTCAATTTCATATGGAAATCAATCCCATCCCAAGTCCCAACAACGCCCTGTCCTTGTTTATATACGAAAGAGCAGGAAAGTATCGTTGACATTTATCTCTTTGCGTTTGCCTATCCATCGTCAAGAAACAGAATACAAGAGAGCAAGAAATATAGCAACCATCAACCAAGTTCTCTTGTTCAATAATAATTCACTTCACCTAAAAAGAGGGCGGGAAAAAAACAGATTTTCAACAAGTCAATCATGAGGAATATTACCGGGAATCTAGGTGGCATAAACCTTTCGAAGGTTTGTTAAATACTAAGAGAGGTTTTAGCTTGGTCTGGGATAAGGAATCAGATGGAACAGTACATTCACTTGCTACTGAAAGTGTTGACAACACCACCACCAACAACACTAGTATTTGTGTTTTGGTTTCTGGGTTTTGCAAACTTGAGCTATGTTCAGGCTCACATACATGGATTTGGAGAGCAACCACTTGCAAAGATTGATATTTACAAAACCACTCTGGCTCTTAAAGAATCAGCTTCTGTTTATGCTAGCCCTCTCCTTCTTGGCTTGAAGGTGATGGTTTTGACTGACCCTTCTCTTAATTATATCATTGTATTTGTGGCATATATTATTTGTCTATGCTTTTTTAAGTTGCTATTTATCTATTTAGGCTTTACTCATAAAGTTGCTGCACACCTAGTTGTTTAATTGATATATGAAATGAGTTGAAAGGAGTGTTAATTAAGTAGGAGAGATTGAGGTTTAGTATAAAAATATGGAAAGTCAAGATTTATGCCGACTTTAATGCCTTGTTCAATGTAACAGAATGAGGTTAGAGCGAGAGATGAGTGTTATTTCATTTACTCTTGCAAGTGTTTAGATACCCAGTTGAAAAGTGATGGTCTTTTTCATTTTGGTAGAAAAGAAGAAAACCTCGGAGTTGAAATCTACTTGTAAAAGCAAAAATTGGCAGACCAATTTGTTCATGATCTTATATTAAGGAAATTTTGCAGTTTGATTGGATACCTAGCAACTAGGCTGTTTTTTGGACTGTGGTCCATAGTAAAGATTGGTCATTTGAGTGTATTACTAGTGATTATTAGCTGAGTCTGCCATTGTACACACTCTTATTGAACTTGCAGGTACCATTGCAAGAATCTCTGCCAATAAATTTCTATATGCTTTCAGTTTTGAAGTAATGGTTAATTTGATGTGCTTTTCTATTGTTATTTTTATGATTGCAGGGTGAGGATACTGAATGGGTTACGGTGGATATTATGCACCCTGAACCGTCTGCAAATGATTGGGTTGGAGTTTTCTCTCCTGCAAAATTCAAGTAATGCCAGTCTATGTGCTATTATTAAGCTTCCTAACTGGTCCTTGTGCCTTTTCATATATATATATATATATATATTTAAAAAAAAAAAAACTGGTCTTTGTGCCTGAAATGTAATTGACTGGTGCACATATTATCAACTGAGCCTTTCCTAGCATTGTATTTATTGCATCAAACTTCCTCTGCCATTGCACTTGTAGGACCAACGTTATGAGCTTTGATAGCTGGATAATTTAGGAATTATGGACATGCTATTGTTTTCTAAACTAGGAAGTTTTTGTTCTGATATGGCAGCTCATCTACATGTCCACCCATAAATGACCCAAAAGAGCAAACTCCATATCTATGTACAGCCCCAATAAAGGTGTGTACAGTATGATTTATTATTGAGTTACTTGTAGAATCTTATTGGTCACAATTCATGATTTCCAACATTCTTGTTCCAGTACACGTATGCAAATTATTCCAATTCAGAATATACAAAGACAGGCAGAAGTTCTTTGAAGTTTCAGCTGATAAACCAGCGGGCAGATTTCTCCTTTGCACTATTTTCAGGCGGTCTGTCTAATGTGAGTTTGAGAATCCTTTAGCTGTTTTGATCTCCACCCGCCATATTTAAACTTAAAAGCAATACAAATATATATGTTATAGATGCGTGTATGGACGTATGGATATATTCGGGTCTACATTCAATTCTCTCATGATGGACCTTGATATGTTTATTCGTATCCTTAATTATGCTATATCACATTACTCCTCTTGCTGTCCTAATATTGAATTCTGATGATTGCCTGTGATATTCTCGAACTTATTCCATACTTGATTTCTTGCAGCCAAAACTGATATCAGTTTCAAATTCAATAACTTTTTCCAATCCTAAAGCACCCCTCTACCCTCGCCTTGCTCAAGGAAAAGCTTGGGATGAAGTGAGTTGTTTCTTGAATCTTAATCTCATTGTTGATCTTTTAAATTATCTTTCCTTGAAGATCATTTGAGTTAATGAGTCTCTGCATAAACAATTTATTTGGATTCTGATAATGTACAGTGGAAGCATGTATCCTTGATTTACATGTGGTTGAAGGCTAATTTATGTAAGAAATCAATCTAGAAGGAAATGTAAGTAAACGAAGTGTATAACCCTGGACTTATATTTCCCATCTCACTTAAAAAATGATGCTTATGGTGTTCTAAGTTTCAACCTTTGGCATTAGATCTTTGGCTTTTTGGAAGCAACTTGGGTTAAGCAAACATTTTACGTTGCAATCATTATTGCAGTCAATACTCTCTCATAAAGTTCTTGCACAAGTGGTTTATAAACGTTCACTTCCAATTCAGTTGACGTTTTATTTTTGTACAGATGACTGTTACCTGGACTAGTGGTTACAATATAGATGAAGCTGTTCCATTTGTTGTATGGGGTCTGAAGGGTGAGATTCCAAAGCGTTCACCTGCCGGAACATTGACATTTAAGCAAAACAGCATGTGTGGTATGATTTTTTTCTTCCACGTGCAATAGTGTGCATTTGCAGTTTTTTGATCATGCAATACTTGATTTAATTAATTCCTTATTATTCAGTATGGGCTCAGCTATTTATTTGTACCCAGTTTGGTAGACAGTTGCAAAGCAGTTTTTAGTCGTGAAATGCAAATTCCCTTTTATGACTTGTGATTTTGAGCAGTGCCAATTTCTTAAACGTCATGCTTATCTGAGAATTATTCCACTACGAAACATAATCTGAAGGGTTCTTCCTTATTTTAGGTTGTCAAATCGTGCTGTTACTTACAAGACTTATATTCGTTTACTGAAGTTCTTTTCTATCTTAATTTCTCAAGGAAGATTAAGCCTTCTAGTCAGAGTGCACATTGATGTGACTTGATAGATTTCCTTCGCTTCTGATGCTATCTTCTTATGAGAGAAACTTGATAGCCTAGTTGCTTCCTATTGTTTTTTCTCATGCTAATTTAGAGTTCCTAGCCTTGTCTGCAATCAAAATTAGGAAGCCCCATTTTTTTTTCCATATTTGTATTGTTACATTACATTCAATCAAGTTTTCTTGCAAGCCAGAGCAATGATGAAATTTGTTTCTCTTTGCAGGTTCACCTGCAAGAACAGTTGGTTGGCGTGATCCTGGATTCATACATACAAGTTTCCTGAAAAGTTTATGGCCAAACTCTGTGTATGTTTTTCTTTGGAAGTTATTGATCTTCCTTTCCGTTGAAAAGCTCAATACAAGTAATCTAGTGATCATTTTTTTTTCAGGTACACGTACCAGTTAGGTCATATCTTATCTAATGGCTCATATGTTTGGAGCAAGAAGTATTCATTCAAATCATCCCCATTTCCTGGACAAGACTCATTGCAGCGGGTCATAATATTTGGTGACATGGGGAAGGTAGTTTTGGATAATCTATAATAAAGTTGTAATTTCTTTATTAATGTGAGGAAACCTATATAAACACTTACATATCATCACAAATTTGTATGCGTTACCTCTACCTTTTGCCAGATGTAGTTAATCTCACATGCAAATTATTCAGCTTACCATTGTCAGATAATTGTTAGCATTGGGGGTAGTACCAAACAAAGGCAAATCTCTTCCAGGCTCTGGTTTCCATGAAGAAATAAATGGCAAAAACCTTAAATGTCTATTTTCCAAAATCTGCAACAACATAATTTCAAACTGTCATCATCTCGTTAATGAAATAAATTATGTTGCCTGGAAACCCATGCTAGGTATATGATGCTAAGATGCAAGGCTGTCCCTGCTTTTTTTAACACATTATTATCTATGACTAGAATAAGGGTGTACTGACTACTGATATCTGCATTTTACAACAATGTCTTGAAGGCTGAACGTGATGGCTCAAATGAGTTCAGTGATTATCAGCCTGGTTCACTCAACACCACAGACCAACTAATCAAGGACTTGAGAAACATTGATATAGTATTCCACATAGGAGATATAACATATTCAAATGGATACATCTCACAATGGGACCAATTCACAGCCCAGGTTGAGCCCATTGCATCGACTGTGCCATACATGATTGGAAGGTACTTGGTCATGAACAATTTCATATGCTTTTGAGGCTTTAGTTCATGGTTCTGGATAGTATATAGTACTATTTACTTTAGAGTTCTGTTTGAAGCATGCTTGTTCTCTTTTCTTCTGTAGTGGTAATCATGAACGTGACTGGCCAAATTCAGGATCCTTCTATGGCAATACAGATTCAGGAGGGGAATGTGGTGTGCCTGCAGAAACAATATTCTACGTCCCTGCTGAGAACAGAGCTAAGTTTTGGTAAGTTATGCAAAATTCCCATCGAGTAATTCTCAGATCAAGAAATCTTGGTAGAAGAATTATTAACCGCTGGGCAGAAGTTATTGACTTAAGCTTACAATGATATTCAAGGCAATTAATGGAGCTCAGAACTAATAATAAAAGAGGTGAGAGAAATGAAACACAGAGAGAGAGAGAGAGAGAGAGAGAGAGAGAGAAGGAGAAAGCAAGCCAACAAGTGCCAAAATAGGTGGAGAATTTAATCCTATGTATGCCTAGGTCCAATTATTATTTACACCTCTAATTTTCCAATATCCATTAAGCTCATGGTCCTCGAATTTAATGGAAGTCCATCAATCTGCAGGTACTCGACCGATTATGGCATGTTTCACTTCTGTATAGCAGACACTGAGCATGACTGGAGGGAGGGATCAGAACAATATGAGTTCATTGAGAAATGCCTTGCGTCTGCTGATAGACAAAAGCAACCCTGGTTGATCTTCGCAGCTCATCGTGTCCTTGGGTATTCATCTGATGCATGGTATGGCCTAGAGGGCTCGTTTCAAGAGCCCATGGGGAGGGAAAGTTTGCAGAGACTCTGGCAGAAATACAAGGTGGACATAGCATTTTATGGACATGTCCACAACTATGAAAGGACATGTCCCATCTACCAGGTATGCAAAACTGCAATACGTAAATTGTTTTTCCTTTGCAAAGAACTGAATTCGTCTTTTATGAATCAATTGGCTTGTGCTTATCTTATGGATCAATTAGCACATATTATGTGTCAATCGCGGCATGTCATTTGTGAAGGCTGCATCTAGGTTTAGGTTTCACGTATTATGCTTAATATTGTCATTGGTTCTGTGGTGAAAATGTAAATCATTGGCTCTAAACCAGCATTTTGAGAGCAATTTTACTTAGAGGATCTCTTGAGCCCATTGGGAGCAATTGAATTCAAATTCAAAATAGGTTCAGAGGCTATGATCATGAATGCAGGACTAACACTAAAATATTGATACTGATACCGATATCTTTTGGAAAATAATATTACATTACGCCTTAAAAATATTCTGTTCCTTGATCAAGGAAGAAGCACTTTGAACCAACACTCCATTCTTTTAAGTGGGAAACAGAAGAATCTTGTTGGTATCAGGTAGACTCCGTTATGCCAAACCATTTCCGTCATAAGCAATGAAATGAACTTTCCTCAAGTGACCATGCTTAATTTGCAGTCCCCCATTGTGCCTCTCTCTTCTTCTTTATATTCCTCAATAGGTTGTGAAAATATATTAGATTATTTTAATGTCATTTTGTATCTTACTTATGCTGGTAGTGCAGAATCAATGCGTGAACAATGAAAAACATCATTATTCAGGCACGGTGAACGGAACTATTCATGTTGTTGCTGGTGGGGGAGGCAGCCATTTATCGGAATACAGTGAAGTGACACCAAATTGGAGTATTTACAGAGATTATGACTTTGGATTTGTCAAATTGACAGCATTTAATCATTCATCTCTGCTATTTGAGTACAAGAAAAGCAGTGATGGAAAGGTGTATGATTCCTTCACCATTTCAAGGGACTACAAAGATGTTTTGGCCTGTGTGCACGATAGTTGTCCAGCAACCACTTTGGCTTCTTGAATTATACGTAGTAGAAGTTACACGTGAAAGGCAGAATAATTTTTTCGTCTGTGCTGTAATGCTGCTTTAATTTATGATAATATTAAGTATAAGCTTCAGTGAAAATTATGTTCCATCCTCGTTTTCTTGTGCTTGTCCTTTAAGTGTTTATGGGTTTCATACGTTAATATGATAGGATGTTAAACTGGAATTTCCAGCTCCTGTTTACATATGACATTGCTGGATCATGTCATATTTCAGGAAGAAAATTTCGGATGGAGCAACTAGAATCCAACAATGTACAATTGAACAAATGAAAATGGGGTTCACACTCAAGCTCTTTCTGTAACCTACAAGTTCTATGAAGTGATTTCAGGTTCTACTTTCTGTGTACATCCTAATAAAAAAGCTGGTAAAGATGAGAATCAAATAGCTTTTGCATTACCAGGAGTTTGATGCTCATTGAAGAGGCTGATACAATGGTACATCATGCAGCTAGTTCATGGGAAAAAAAAAAAAGAAAAAAAAAAGGTGAACTTCCTTCACCATTTGAGACTCTGGACCAACCAACTGTAGATAGACATGTCAATACCTAGAGGTAAATATTAAAATGCATTAAATTTTTCTGGCCTATCAGAGGGGAAAACGTGGAGATAAAAAAAGACCTTACGCAAAATAAAGAGAGCAGACATGCGCTGTTTTTCCACTCTCAAGCGAAAAAACATACAGAGGTACATGAGTTAGCGAGGAATAATGCCAGAAACAAACAGAGGTAGAGAAAAAACATATAGAGGTACATAAGTTACATTTTTGAAAGTTGTTATATACTAAACTTGGAGTAGTTTTGTTCATTTCATTTCTGGTAAATATACATGCATATCAGTCCTTGCAAAATATTGGAACAACGCAACCATAGTTTTGTCTTGGTTTCTGGGTTTTGCAGACTCTCTCTCTTCATACAGGTTCAAATTGATGGATTTGGAGAGCAAGCACTTACAAATATTAATTAACATTGACAAAATCACTGTGGCTCTTTCTCACTCTGCATCTATCAATGCTAAGCCTCGCATTCCTGGCTTGTAGAAATGAGCTTTTTCTTTTGAATCAAATTCTACTTGTTGCATGTCATTCATGTTGTTTCATATTGTATCTCTCTTTAGTAGTAAACGAAATGAAATATTCTAAAAAGAAAAGGAGAAATGAAAGCAAATATATGTGTTCATGATTCAAAAAAAAAAAAAAAAAAAGAAGGAAAGTTGTGGGCTATGCTTAATGTGATATTCTTAGAAGAAAATGAACGCATATGGTAATTTTTTTAAATGGGGTTATTAGAGTGAGATATAGAAATTCATTTCAAGTACTACGGAAGCGTATAGAGAGCCCATTTGATGTGTTCTTCTCTTATTTATGCTAATGGCAGCGTCAAGATTCTGAATGAACAACAGTGGATATATTGTAAATCCTAAGCCATCTGCAGATGATTGGATTGGAGTCTTTTCTCCAGCAAATCTCAAGTAATTAATGACAATTCATCCGAATATTAACTGACTAATTTTCTCAAATTTTCTTTATCAATATATTTGTAGGAGCAAAATTAATGTAACCATTTTTTCACTGCATAATCTGGGAACTTTCGTATGTTCAAATTGTTTTCTGACACAGAAAATTGATACGGCAGCCCATCAACAGTAGATGACCCAAAAGTGCAAACTCCATATATTTGTACAGCTCCAATAAAGGCATGTACAAGGTACAATCATTTGTGAAATAAAGGTGATTGTGGAATCTTGCAGGCGAAAAATTCTCTAACTGTTACAGATGTGCCACAGCAGCTGCTGAATGTGCAAAAGCTGATTAAATGGCAAGCAATCTTAGCAGTAGACCTGGACAGAGTCAAGGCTACACATATTTTACTGTTACACTTGTTCTTCTGCTGCACGTTGTTAATTGCTGCAAATTAGGATGATCTACTGGTTAGTGGCATTGTGGGCAGCAGTTATCTCTAAATTTCTGTATTCAAACAGTTGTTGGGTTCAATAAGAGATATTAGATTTGCAGGAACTTGTACATGGGTTCTCTCATCGGATAGGGATTTGTACTGTCTTATATACAAAACTTTGGGGCATTGTAGTTGGTCTGAAAAATGGCTTGGAAGCTGGGACATTGACAGATTATTTTGGAATCAGATTCTTTTAGTGCAGTCAACTTAAAATTGTCTTCGAAGGGTCATTGTGGTCAATATCATCAGTTGATCTCCACTATTTTCGATTTTTTTCATAAATATTGGCAATTGCAGGTTGCTCACATTTTTAGAGAAGCCAATTGGTTGGCTGACAAGCTTGAATTGTATGCTTACTCTCTTCCTTTAGGTATTTTGTTTTTGTCACATATTCCAAGTAAAATGTAGTAACCTTCTTCAAAAGGATGTTTGTGGAGTTGCTTTCCCTCATTTTTGCAACGAGTATGTTTATTGCATAGAGCTTAGCCTCTCCCATGAATAAAAAAAAGAAAAAGAAATACGAGTGCGGGAGGAAAGTGATGAAGTGCTAGGTGGCAATTTGGGTCCGTCATTTAAACAAATGGATGACACATAAGCTAAAAGAAAGAAGATTACAAAACACTTGTGTGGGTGGTTTAAAAGGGTGATGTGGCTGGTTGTTAGCAGTTTGTTAGATTACGGTTAGTATTATTTCTAACTAGCTAGTGTATTAAAAAGGAGATAGAAATTTAAAACTGTCTGGATTGTTTGGCAAACTTTTATTTCTCTCTCGTAATTCTCTTTGGAATTCTTTTTTCTTCGTTTTACTCATGGCTTTGAACCGTTCTTTGTTTTGTTCTCTCTCGTGATTTGTACTATTCTATTGGTTTTGTTGAATCAATTTGTTAATAAAGATTTTCAATACAAATTCATTTGTAGAATCTATAATTTGTCTTAATATTCAATTATAGAATTGGAAAATTGCATTAATTGATAGCAGAGCAATAATCTTGTAACTTATGGAGGATTCAAGGAGAAATCAACAACCATGGTTAAAGGAATTGTGATAAAATAAATTAGGCGAGAAGACAAAAGAGAGGAATATTTCTCCACTATATTTTAAATTGATTACAAGCCCCATTTAAATACCGGAGGCACTAAATCTATGTACGAGTTGTATGGTATTCAACAAAGGAAATAGGCTCTAATCTAGGTGCCAAATGAAGGGAAATAATTAAGGAAAAACAACTAAGGAAACTGCTATTTTAGGTGCTAAATAAAGGAAAACGAGCAAGGAAATACGCAATAAGGGTTGAAAGATATTTCAACCCTTATTACTCCCCTCAAGTTAGAGGGTGCAAAAATATTGAGCACACCTAACTTGGAAAGATGTTGATGCATCGGATCCCGTGTCATAGCTTTGGTAAACATGTCGATAGGTTGACATTTGGTAGAGATATGTGTCGGAGAAATGAAACCTTGTTGTAGTTTTTCTCGTATCGGATGACAATCAAGTTCAATGTGTTTTGTTCGCTCATGTAGCATCGGATTTGCAGCTATGTGAAGGGCGACTTGATCGTCACAATGTAGGGAATCGAAAGAGTTGATTGAATAGACAAATCGAGGAGTAAATTGGATAACCAAGTGAGTTCACAACATGTTGATGCCATAGATCGATATTCCGCTTCAGAGAAACTACGAGAGACTCGTTGGTTGTTTCTTAGTCTTTCATGAAATGAGAGCTCCCCCTAAAAGGATACGAAACCGGAGATGGATAGTCGAGTCATCGGGCATGTAGCCCGATCGAGTCATAATAGACGATCAATTGTAAATGAGTGTTGGAGGGAAACAATAATCCCCGCCCTACGGTGCCTTTGATGTACCGTAGCAATTTGAGAGCCGCTTGAAGATGAGGTGCCCGTGGTGAGGCCATAAACCGACCGAGGATATGTACGGGATAAGAGATGTCGGGCCGACTAATAGTGAGGTAGATGAGGTGGCCTATTAATCGGCGATGATGACCGGGGTCATCGAGGAGGTCTCCAAGTGCCATTGTCTAGTTTTAGATGCTCGCTCCATTGGTATTGAACCGGGTTTGCAGCCAAGGAGGCTCGCGTTACTAAGGATATCAAGGGCATACTTTCGTTGGCTTAGGTGAATGCCCGATGTAGAACGAGCAATTTCCAAACCAAGAAAGTATTTAGCTGGTCCCGAGTCCTTGATTTTGAAGGTAGAGTTGAGGTGAGTTTTGATATTATTGATCAAAGAAAGACTAGTGCTCGTGATTATGACATCATCAACATAAACAAGGAGAGCAATAAAGTCGGAGCCACTAGTGAAAGTAAACAAAGAATAATCACAGAGAGATTGTTTGTAACCAAGTGATTGAAGAAAAATAGAGAATTTTTCAAACCATTGTCGGCTAGCTTTGTTTAAGTCCATACAAGGACTTATTGAGTTTGCATACTCGTGGCTCCCCTTGGTATAAAATCCCGATGGAGGTTGCATGTACATATCCTCATGTAAGTCACCATGCAAGAATGCATTGTTTACATCTAGCCGTAATATGGGCCATCCTTTAGAAGCCGCCACGACTAAGAATGTGCGAACGGTTGTCATTTTGGCAACCGGTGCAAATGTTTCTTGATAATCAAGTCCTTTTATCCGTGTATAACCCTTAGCTACCGGCGAGCTTTGTATCGTTTGAGTGACCCATCGAATTAAATTTGAGTTTGTATACCCATTTACATCCCATCGCACGTTTTCTCGATGGGAGGGAAGTTAAAACCCAAGTATCATTTTCTTCTAAAGCTCGTATCTCATTTTCCATTGCATTCCTCCAATTTGGATCTTTAATGACCTCGGTAAAAGTGTGGGGTTTAGGTGGGATTGTGATTTGAGAAACAAAGGTATGGTGAGAGTCCGAAAGATTATCATAACAAAGAAAATTGGATAGGGGATATAGGATAGAAGGTTTACTCGATCGAAGATTGTTGCCGACTCGTACCGAGGTGGAGAGTTGGCATACATAATCATGGGTCCA